GCATACTACAGTGATGCAGTCACATCAATGTTTATAGCAGCTCAATTCACAATAGCCAAACTATAGAACCAATTTAAATGCCCTTCAACAGATGAATGGATAAAGAAAATGTGGCATATATACAGAATGGAATATTACTCAGCCATAAAAAAGAATGACTGTATGACTTTTGCCTGTAAGTGGATGGATCTGGAGAATATCATGCAAACTGCAATAAGCCAACACCAGAAAAACAAAGGCTGAATGTTCTCCCTGATATGTGGATGCTAACACACTAGGGGTGAGGATAGTGGGAAGGGGAAGAATGGAAGTTCGGTAGATTTGGCAAAGCAGAATGAAGGGAAGATGGGGGGATGGGAATAGGAAAGACAAAATGAATCAGTCATAACTTTCCTAAGTTAATATATAAAACTGAACCAGTGAAACTCCACATCATGTAAGACCACAAGAATGGGATCCTAGTTAGAAAAGGTCATACTCCACGTCTGTATAATAGGTCGAAATGCACTCAACTGTCATGTGCATCTAAAAAGGACAAATAACAACAAAAAAAAAAAAAAAGAAAGAAAGAAAGCATTGACACTATTAGTAGAGAACAGACTATGTAAAGTTTGTAAGAAGATAAGCAGCATATTAATGGATTCAATAAGTAGTACTGAATTGTGGGGTGTTCTGCACAGCACCCATCAGACACCCCAGGAAATGGGCCCTGGAGGGCCAGAATGTGGACAGGAGACTCATGGTTCCCTGTGGCTGCAGTTCCGACCCACAGAGGCGCGTGTGTTGAAGGCGCCTCCCGGTGTGGCGCTCTGGGGACAGGGTGGAACCTTCAGGGGCAGGGCCTGGTGGGAGGTCTTGGGTCACTGAGGGGAGCCCTTGAGGGGACTGGGGACCCTGCTCCCTGCCCTCCCTCCTGTGTGCTTCCCGGCCACATCTCTGCCAGGCCTCTGGCCACCAAATGTGGCTCACCCAAGGTCTGAAAACAACAGGGCCGGCTGGTCATGAACTGGACCTCTGACCCTCCGAGTCAGTGGGCACCTCCTGATGTCAGTCAGTCACCTCAGGCCTTGTCACAGGGCTGGAAATGACAAAAACACACAAAAACAGATTGAACTAGGGAGAGGGAAGGGAAGCCGACGACTCGGGGTTGAGAGCCACTCATCTGTAGGAAAGGTTCCACCGGGGACCCTGACACGTGGCCACAGCAGTGAGGTAGAGATGCACCCTCAGAGGAGGGGAGAGTTCCGCCCCCCGGGGTTTCAGATGGCGGTGTTTGTGGGATACCCCGGGGAGGGCGTCCACATCTGCCACAAGTAAGGCCCGAGGCCCGGGGAGGAGCGTGGCAGGCACTGCCTGGGCCCCACGGGCCTCATCCTGCACCTTACTGCTGGGGTTGGTGGCTTTGCCTCGTGTGGGGCTGGGCCAGCCCGGGCCTCACGCTCGCTGGGCAAGTGCTGTCCCTGAGCTGTGTCCCCTGGCCTGGTCTTCACGGCCCACCTCTGGTTCACCAGGATCAGGCGTGTCCTGTGCGCGGCCCGGCTCCCTCTCACCTGCTTCCTCCCAGGCTGGATCTCCTCCTCACCGACATGCAATCGAACCTACTGTCTCCATGACGGCCTTCCTGACTCCCCCTAAGTCCCACCTTCTGGCACTTTCTGTCCCTCTGCTGATTCAGGTACTCTCCCCGGGATCTTTCTGAGACCCTGACGTACTGTGTGTTTTACGATGGCTCTCGTTTCTCTGTTGGACCGCAAGCTCACCCCACGGTGTCGTGGTTTGTGCGTGTGAGACAGTGCAGGAGGCTCCGAGGAGGAATGACTGGTTGTGAGACCCTTGGCCCAACCAGAGAATCCATCCTCTGGCGGGATTCGCTGAGTGCAGCTGAAGGCCTGTGGCCGGAGGAGGCGGGCAGCGGGAGCTGTTGAGAGCCACAGCCGAAGGGGCCCCAGCAAACTTCCAGCTGCCGGCTGATGATTGGCTCACAGCGGCCCCAGCAACATCTAGCTGATTGGCTCCTCTGTGGTGATGCTCATTGGACTGTTTCCCTGCCCTTTCAGACCACGGAGCTGCTCATTGGGGGACTTTTTTGGCTCCGCCCACATGACCCAGCCAATCAGCCTCAAGAGCAGGAGGATTGTGGGAGGTGGAGAGAAGCTTGTGGGGGAGAGAGAGGCTTGTGGAAAGCCGGTGGTGGCAGTTGAGGCTCTGAGGGTTTTTCCTGAGAGGCTGTTTTGTTTGGCGTGTGTGGTTCTAAAAATAAAGTTAGTTTCTTTTGACAAGTGGCTCCTGATTGTGCCCAGCCAGACTGCGGCAGGGAGCGTGGCTCTGGGGTCTCTGTCTGGTGAGGGCAGTCTCTCTGCTTCTGGTCCTCAGGGGAGCTGCCCCCCTGCTGCACACTCTTCTGCCACGATACCCTGCCCCATCTCTACCCTGAGGAACGGAGCTGGCTGTCTATGGACTGAGACCCTAAAACTAGGAGCCCCCAGAGAAAGGTTTCCTCCTCTAATTGCTCTCGACAGGTCTTTTAGCCATAACAGTGAAGAAGCTGACTGAAACAGTGGACATGAGGGTTTTGGTCTGTTCACTGCTGAATTTGGGAGTCGGGAATACAACAGGCTGAATGAACGGTCTGTGGAGGTGAACGTGATCTGCACTACTTGGTAGAATATGTGGGAATTCTGAGTCTGGGTCCCTGGGTGTTCACCTCGGGCTGTGCCACATTGGGCAAACGCATGTTTTTTTTCACATCTATAAAATGAGGCTGATGATGTGGCCTGGCTACCTCCAGGATGTTAAAGGAAGAGAAGTGTCTATAAAGGAAGCCCACCACCCAGCCCTCAGCCTAGGACTGTTTGAGTCAAGCATCATTTTACAGCATGAGTTTGCATATTTTCTTGCTTAACTATTCAGAAAGTGGTGACATTTCCTCCTTGAGGTGATTAATGCTCAACGGAGGCTCTTTTAGGAGGGGCGTATCTGCTGTCCTGGAGACCATCCTCAGGGTTGGCTGGAAGATGCAGCCTGTCCTTCACCGAGGGCCCTGGACTCGACTTCCCCTGAAGCAGCAGCTCGTCACCTGATGGCTTGCACCTCCCAGATGCGGATGTCATGCTGGGCGGAAGGGTGGCCACTGGACCTGGGTAGAGGCTGGGGTCGACAATGCATGGCATGCTCCCCCACATAATTTCTCACTCCAAAACCCTCTAAGGGTTTTTGGAGCTGACTACCTACTTTCAGAATCATCTTCCAGGACTGTTGCTTATAGGGGACAGAGATGGGTTCCCTTCTGTGGGAAAGTCTGGCGGTGGCAGTTGGGACCTTGAGGGATGGGCATTTGGAGGAGCACGCAGGACCCAGAGAAAGAGGGCAGAACCCAGGCTTTGTGTGTGACGTCACTGGAGCTGCTAAACAACTTACAAAATCAGTGACTGTGTCTCGGGCCATTTCTACGTCTTACGGTCTACAGAAGGCGCTATGAATTAGGACTTCTTTTACAAGGAAAAACGTGACTTTGACTTCTCATGTCTTCCTCCAAGGGTAAGAGGCAAAGGGATCGCCAGTCTTTTAAGTGAGGATTGTGGGGTTTGGGATCTGGGCTTACTTATTAAAAATAGTTTTTGTAAGAGAAATGATGTTTCTAGGTGGTTACAAATGTATCTTCTGAAAAGGGGATGATGATGGTTCCAAGTGCTCTCAATTCTGTTCTTTTATTGAAATAACAATTCTCCTGACATATCCCAGTAGCAAGTTGGGTTCAAGTTTGGGGCAAAAGAAATATGGAGTGAGTGAGCTACAAATTTAGAAGAACAACTGGACATTCTAAATTATATAAATCAAGATTTATTTATTAATCTGAAATAATTGTAACACAGATGTATTTAAACAGACCTGACCTTGCTGCATAGTAATTCTGGGTAAAAGGGGGCCTTGTCTTCATAGAACCCCAAACCACAAGAATCTGCTGTTCTAAATTCTTTCTTTTTCTTTTGTGACTAATGCTAATTGAAGAAGTAGAAGGAATGCAGAAAATGCTATTACCTGAATGGACTTTTCTAAAAAGAAATATTAGTTTTAAAATAGAGGTACATACATACCCGAAAGAGCACAAAAGAGTTGTTAATAAGGATTATCAATGGAAAATATGGCTTTGGGGTCTCTGATTTCTAACAGCACGTGCAGATGAATGACTACCAATGTCTTGCCAAACCCTAAGGTACAGTCGGTGGCCGACTTGCTCTTCACCTATCCTATACCACGTCTACCTGCACGCTTTCCATGCCGCAGTGCACCCTGGTTTGGATTCGCCTTCTTTCTTTCTTAACCAGGGATTTGTTTTTCTTGGCTGTTCAATAACATGAAGGCATTGTCCTTTGCTGCCTTGTGTTTGGGATGTGGTTAATGAATATTTAACTCGGGGCAGCACTCGGGAGACCCTAGTTCACCGGGACTAGTACCCTGTGAACGTGCCTTATCGCGGTGTCTGGGCTCTGCTGTTCATATTCTGGAGATAAGGTTCTTGGGCAGAGCGCCTTTCGGAAGGAAGCCAAGGGGCTGCCGGCAGTTTATTTGGGGAAGGAAATCATCAATTGCGAGCGTTACGCATTGCTGCAGGGCCTATCGAGCTCATTTCCCCGTCCACTGCCACAGGCTAATGTCACATGCTTACAGCGACTTCAAAGGCACAGCTCTGTGCTTTGTAGGTTTATTAACACTGAGATCTCTCTGAGGGCACCAAGTGTTTGTCATTAACATGACTACAATCCACAGACTCGCCCACGGAGGTCATAAAAGCTGCAGCGGAGACTTGTGTGGCCGTGGTGCAAGGCACCGTTAATGGAATCTGGAATCTGGGTTCCTGTTGAGTTACCAGGGCTGGGGCTGGGCGGGGAGTAGGGAGCAGCATTGTGCACCCCGCCTGGGCTTTTCTGTCTTCCTCTTCTCTTTAATGGTCCAGTGTAGTGAGCACAGTGATTCAGGCTCCCGGGGATACAGTCAAAGCAGCTCGCAGGGACATCGGCATCTAGCCCACACCCAGGCAACAGTGACCCCCCGCTGCCCCTGCAGCACGTTCTAACCAGCCCTCAGCCACGCGGAGGAGCACTTAACCTCCTCAGACACAATGACAGAAAACACCGAGGTAAGGCCCGGGGACACCTGCACGAAGGAGAGAGGGTTCTTAACTGACACATGAGAGTTCATCTTTCCAAGCTGAAGTATCTCGGTGCTCATTTAAGACCTTGCAGAAGGGCTTCCCCTGACCCTGGCCCTTTGCTGAATGTTTGAGGAGCCTTGCAGGGCAGGCGCTTCTCTTTGCAGGCCATGATGGGCTGCCCTGGGCAGAGCAAGAAGGTGGTTGGAGTTGAGAGCTGTCTGTGCTGCACTTCATGTTGGACCCCACTTCATGTCCCTCGCCAGCCACTGCCACTCTGTCCACCTTGGGGGTGTCCTTTCCACACGCAGGTGAGCCAGGCCAGTAGTCAAGGGAGAGGGGCCTGCTCTCAGGGGCCCTGGGGCTTGCTGTGGCCAATGAGCTGCAGCTGTACCTCAGGAACAGTTCTGAGGTCCAGGGAGGGTGGAGGACCAAGGCACCCCGGAACCAGCTGGCTCCTTCGGAAAAACAGAGCAAAACTGAGGGATTTGTAGGAAAATCATTAGCAGTTGTTTGGTTATTTCTCTGTGTCAATAGACTTTTGTTTAATATCTTAGATATTTGAGCAGTCCTGTAATAGCTTTTGTTTAGTTTCCTTCACATTAAAAATAGGCAGTTGAGTGGCTAGCTCTCCTGAGTGAGTGGGGTTCTAAATTAGGAAGAGAAGAGAGAAGAAAGTGATATGGGAGCTCTATGCTAAAATAAACTTCCCTGGCCAATTTAAAGTTCATAAAGGGAAAGAGATATACCATGAGGTTGATTTCATTTTCATCTTACAGTTAATTATCAAAATGCCCCTGATTAGTATTTGTTTAAAACTCAAAATCTTTTTCAAAGGGGGATATTTTTGGAGAGGGATCTTCTTTCCAATTAAAACAGGAATTGCAAAACCCTAAGTAAAATCTATGATGGAAATTAAAGACAGGAAGTCAATTTTTTTTTTTTTAGGACAATCATTACTTGATATTTCCATACAATCCTTTGCAGGAGGTATTTTAGGGAGCTGTTATGAAACTCAGATGTCACAAAACTCAAACCAGGAGCAATTTATTTTCCTGTGAAAATCACATAATGGCAATTTTTGAAGAAGGGATTAAAAATGGAACTTATTTCCCTTGATTTAATAACTTGTAATTCCCCTACACTGAAATAATTCAGGGCTTGGTGCAGCACAGACAGGAATCTCCTCTGTCTCCCCTTAACGACCGCGTGGTCCAGGCGCCCGCCCCTCCTGGGCTTCCAGGAAGGGCCCAGAGCACCAGAGCCCAGCTGGAGAGCCACAGAGCCGCTCTGGGGCTGCACTTCCTGGACTCTGTCAAGCTTTAACTTCACGGGGCTTGCAAGGAAACAAGAGCCTTAAATAAGCCTCCCCAAGCTCCTCTGGGACTAGGCGGAGAAGTTTGAAAGGAATCACGGCACACGGGGTGCAGCTCCATCCTGAGGTTTCTCAGTGTTGCCACCGTGTTGCCACCGTTCATGGCACTTCCTGCTTTATATTTCTGAGAATTTATCTATTTTTAAGAGGTAATTATCTTTGTGAGCCTCTTTGCCTCCAATTTTCTTTTTTTTTTTTTCCTATAAGTTTTTTGCTTACATGTGGTGCTGAGAATCGAACCCAGGGCCTCACACACGCTGGATAAGCACTCTACCAACTGAGCCAGGACCCCAGCTCCCGATTTTCTTGTTCCCGCTCTCTTCCTCTGCTCTATGTTACTTTTACTTCTTCTCTTGGAGTTGGCGAATGCTATAGTTTTCTCCCGGCTTGTCCCAGAACGACAGATTCATCCTCATGTGCTGCTTCCATGGAGTCTGGGTACAGAAGAATGATTCAGAATTTCCACCAAAAATGGAAATAACTGGACACACATTTTTAGAAATGGTTTGCACGCCGTTTCCTACATGTGAAACGTCTACCATTGTGTACACATTAGGTTATTAGAGAAGTTGTCCTTTGGGTGGGTAAAGAATGGTCAAACGCTGCCAGCTTTACCGGGTCCATTAGTTACAATGCCATACCTGCACTTATCAGAGATGCTAGGCAAATTTCTGGGTTTTGTTTTTTTTTACTTCAAGAAACCCCCCAAATATGTTTATTTTGAAACAAGCATTCTTAGACTCCTTCCTGAGAAAATCACACTAAATATACTTAGTGGCTTTAGAGGTCTCGTTCCTGATGCACCATATGCAATGGCGGTCGCTTTTCTACAGCTCAGTTGCTCTCAGTGGTGACCCTCAATAGGTGGTCATTCATCACCACCTGCTGACTTTAGCTCAGGCTTAGTACAAGAACACTCCAGAAAAGCTGCGCGTCTCCCAGTGCGGTGGCCGAGGGTGCTTCAGCATCACAGGCGTCCTGCCTGCGGATGCCCTTGTCAGCCACTCGGTAAGCAGGACCAGTCCCCCCCCTCGTGGTTCTGGTGGCCACATTTTACCAAGAGTCCTGTGTAGTAGGAAATTGGTCCAGCAATGATTCGTTGTTTTGTTTTCCTGTTAGTACTTGTGCCAAACTGTCGAAGAAACAGGTTTCAGAGCTCTCCTTGAAAAAGAAGTTCTTATTTCTTTACCTTAATGGGGGAACAGTTCTTCCAAATAGGACAGACGATGTTTATAAAGCCAAAACTACTCATGGTCTCAGCCAGACATTTTTGTTTTAATTATATGCATAAGTTTACTTACTATAGTGAGAAAACGTCCCGAGCACACCACACGGAAAAGAGAAGCAATGGTATTTCCTCCGTCTTATTTCAATGACATTTGTCACAACATATTCATGAGTGCACGTTTTCTATACTCGCATGGGAGGAACAATTATTTTATGATATTGTATGTATAGGTACCGAATATTTGCAGTTGCTAGCTTATTGTGAATCTTGTCTTTGAGAATGCCCATAAGTAGTTTGGAAGTGTGTTCTGAATCCACCCTTCCTCCCATTCTTATGCGGGATGCTCTGGGTGTAGATAGTTTGACGTTGAGGGTTTGTGCAGAACACATCTCACTTTCTACATGGTGAGGTTGGCCTCAGACTGGGAAATAGAGGCTGGAGACACCACTGGGCTCTTGAAGGATTCGGCCATTAAAACTCAGGAACAGAGAAACAGAAAAAGACACAACCCTCTGTTGAAAGAAATTCCGTCTCAAAACAAGGATTACTGCAATTTTTCATTTGCAAACAGATGTGAAATACATTGCCAAGGTACTGAGTAATGATTTCCCCTTGGAGAGAGCTAGTGTACAACACAGAGAAGTCCTCTGACATCTGTCCCCGCTGCACTAGTATGAGCTAAATCTTGGGGGAGCCAAAGAAGAGACTAAGCACCCAAATCAAGGTCTATAGAATATAAAAATAAGAGCAGTAGACTGCGTAGCTACAGTTTCACTTTGTGATTTCAGTTGCCCTCAATCAACTGTGGCCTCAAAATATTACTATACAATAATATTCCTGGAGGGCGGGGGGAGAGAGAGAGAGAGAGCACATTCAAGCAGCTCACCCCTGTAAGCACACACCCGCGGTGTCTACGTTACCTCCTTGAGACCTCTAAGTCAAACCTCTTGAGAAACCTGCTGGGTTTTGAACCTCATGGATAACCTAAATTGGCTCTGCCAACCTGTGGGTCTCGTTCACGTTCTGGGGGGAGATGACGTTTTCCCTTCCCAGGGAGCGTCAAGCTGAGACAGCTAGTTTTCCTGTCACGTCTGCACAGCGGGTGAGTTCTCATGTGCCCTTCGGTGAGGATGCGGCCATGTGCTGACTCGGCTTCGTGGGTAGAGCCCCCAACCTGGTGCCCATCCTCTCCTGGGTGAGCTGCAGATTACAATCCACAGCTCTTGGATCTGATGACACATGCTGTAGAAGAGGATGTCATTCAACCAGGCCCCTGTTTTTCAACGCCGTAGTCTATGTGGATGGGAACGTTTGGCTAAGTCATTGATTAAAGGACAGACAGTGGTTGTTACGGCCACCTTTCCAGCTAAGAGCATTCTTTATTCTTCTCCCATTCGGGAGACATTTTGTGCTCTTTAGTCATCGGATTTCTCGGTTCTATAATTTTCTCGATTTAGTTCTCATTCCAATTCTGTTCATCCTTGTGGGATTATTTCTTAAAACCAAACCCCTTAATGAAGCTTCATTTTTTAAAAAAAATTTCATTTTTATTTCTGTTTTTAGATGACACACAGTGATTGCACACATTTATGAGGTACAGTGTGACATTGTGAGACATATGTGCAACATGAAGTGTCAGATTAAGCTAATTGGTCACCCATCACATCCAGCATTGATTTCCTCTTTCTGTCAGAAACATTCAAAACACTCTCTTCGGGATATTTGGAAATGTAAAATTAATTGTTATCAACACAGTTGTCCTCCTGTCCTATAGAATGTTGATCCATAAGATCAACTTCTTTAATTAAGGAATCTTCATTTTTGAGAAAAGGAGAAATTATTATGTGTGTGTGTGTGTGTGTGTGTGTGCGCGTGCGTGTGCTCCATGGAGTCAAACTTGGCCTGGTGCATACTCGGCAAGCCCTCTGACACTGAGCTATACCCCACCTCCTCAGTTTGATATCTTTACTTGAAATTTCAGTTTTAAGGAGTGGAATTTTAACTATTTGCTTTCCCTTTACTGTGGCAGACTGTCATACCTCCTGAAGTGTGTCCACTTCTTAATCCCTGGGGCTGTGAATGTTGCCTTTCTGGACAAAAGGGTTCTTGTGAGCAGAAGCGATTTTCCTACAGTACCCAGGTGGACTTCAGCCCAACCCCATGTGTGGTCACAAGAGGAAAACTGGCTATTTTACCTGACAAAAGGACAGACAGCAAGGCAGAGAGTGGAGTACTGTGGCCACAATCCAAGGAGTGCGAGGCAGTTGGTGGCCCAAGAAGCCAGCAGAGGTGGGGAGAGGCAGAAGAGGATTCTCCCTGGGAGTCTCTTGAGAGTTGCCCCCACACAGAGTTCACCCCTTGGGCCGCTAGACCTCTCAGAGCCCAAATCTCTGTTGTTTTAAGAGAATGCTTTGTAGTAATTTGTTAACAACAGTTCTAGAAAACTGATGTAACAGGGAGCGTGATGTCAGGTGAGTCCTTTATCTTGCGCATTTTTAAGAATGAGATCCACAACCAGAGGAGGATAGAGTAGCAAGGTTTATTTGAAGCAGGAAAGGCTCCCCTTGTTTGGGAGGGGTTCCACGGGAGGGTGCTGCTGGCTCTTCTTGGTGTGGGGGGTGGTGGTGTAAAAGGCTTTTCTGGCGGCCCAGTGCAGGTGATTGGTGGCGCTCATGCCATCAAGGACCAGCCAGGCCCTTGGAGCTCTGAGCTCAGCAGACCAATCAGAAGTGCACAAGTTAAATCCTATTTACGTAATTCAGAGGACTGGCCTCTCCCCAGGGCCTGGCACATCCTGGGTGAGAGGAAGTGCTTGGGGTGGGGTGGATTTTGTGGTGGGCCGTGTCTCCCAGGATGGCGGGGCCCATCCTGTCTGCTGTGGGTGGCCCACCTTCCTGACTTACCAGCACCTTCCACAGTGGGTGCTTTGGACCTCCTCCTCTCTGGGCACTTTGACTTTGGTTGTCGTTAAGAGTTGTGGGCTTTCATCTTTTCTTTGAACGCTGGATTTTTAAAAACTCTTTTAGTTTCACTGTTTTCCCTGCAAGTTCATTCTCTGATGGTCAGAGTCTACCCGGGTGCCGTGGGACCGGATGCTCTTAGTGTGACCTACCTTCATCCTGTTCTCGCTGGGGTGAGCTGGGGATCCATCAGGTGCCTTCTGCCTTCCACAGGATCGTGATTGGACCTGTGCTGCCTTCCGAGTTGAGGCCTTCACACTGGACCTCCGTTCCCGCCCTCATTCTGATCCACCTTCAGTCAGCGGTGACACACTTGGAGTGATGTTTTCAGGAGGGTCAGTGGCTGGTGTATTTTCTAAGCACTGACATATTTCACGATTTCTTGCTTTTTCCAGGTATGCACTATAATTCAGTAATAAAAATATCTCTCCCCAAACCCCAGAGCATTATTCGATTATCTCTGGCATTCATGATGACAGGTGAAGTGTATGATGCTACCAGTTTTTGTTCCTTTTGTAATTTTATTTCCTTCTATGTGTTTCAGAAATTTTTCTTTATTTTTAAAATTCAGAGACTTTTGTCTTTTTCTTCTGTATTTTAGAGTAACTTTTCAATGACCTCTTCTATTACATTGAATTAATCTTCTTTGAGGGACATTTATTATTGAATATGCATTTTAATTTGAATATTACGATTTTTTTTTTTTTTTTTTTTTTTTGCTTTTTTTCCATTTCTTCTCACCTCACTCTGTCTTTAATCTCTCAACCTGTGTTTTGTTTTGTTTTGTTACTGGGGACTGAACCACCCAAGGGCTCTTTACCCCTGAGCTATATCCTCAGCCCTTTTTATTTTGAGTCAGGGTCTTGCTAAGTTGCTGAGGCTGGCATCAAGCTTTCCATCCTCCTGCCTCCGCCTCCCTAATTGCCGGGCCTGAGGGCAGCATCACCTACTGGCCTCTCAACCTATTTCTAACTCTTTTCATTATCTTGGCTTCTCAATCTGTCCTGCAGGGCTTTCTGCTCTGGCCACATAGAAGTCATTTTGTTGTTTTTGTCTCTATTCTGGTTGAATAAAGCCTGTAGAGCTTCCTGCTGGTCTGGATGTCTCCAGCTGATGGTCCTCAGGACGGCGTGGGTTCCTGTCCTGCTCACTTTCCCTCCCCAGTCCTCCCAGTGTGTCCTCATGGCTCCGTTCTAATTCTGCGGGGGTCTGTAAGGGTTGTCTGCCTCATCCTGGTTGTGTGTGTGACCTTCACACTGTCCACTCCTCCTCGGAGTCCTGGGGGCCGTCTTTCCAGCCCACTGATGATGCAGGCACCCCGAGGTCAGGCGGCAGCACTTGCAGTATCCCATGCCGACTCACTGCTGTGCCCCGCGATTCTGGAGAGAACTAGTGTGAACCCACACGGGAGCCTTGCGGGACTCTCCCTCTCTGTTTTTCTGGGAAGCTCTTTGATGCGAGGTCTGCGCAGGCATGCTGGTGTTCCACCTCCCTTCTCCGGCCCACGGATTTGCAGTCTCGTGGGATGCTCAAGACACAGGAGACAGCGGCACTCAGCAGACTCAAGGACCAGGGTAAACCACCGCCTGGACCGCCCAGGTCCAGACACTGTGTTTTTCATTCAAAGGATTCACAGTGTTTTAAGGGTGGTTTTTTACCAACAGTTTTTTTCTGTGACGTAGGCCATGTTATTTACTCCTAGCAAGCTCACAATGAGTAGAAATTCCTTTCATAATCTGGCAGCTATTTGATTACGAGTCCTGGTTTTGATTATTGGATTGATTACAGAGCACGGATGTAGTTTGTACAGAAACTTCAGTGAAAAGCTGGGCGCTATCTCATCAGGACTTGGAAAACAAATTCTCCACTAGGTTACAAGTAGGCTTCTTATGCATGGGCAAGTTGGGAAGACCTCGTGTCTCCTCGTGACCCCATTACCACTTCATGCCTCTAGCAGGGGCATGTTGGCAGAATTGGGGGTGTACTGCCATAGATTGAAGATGAACCCCGTTCTGGGGCTTGCAGCACCCACGTGTGACTAATGACATGCAGCACTACCTAGAGGGTCTCAGCTCCTGGTGTCCAGGAGAGACCATCCCGAAGTGCAGAGGAGCAGGCCGAGGGCACCCTGGGTTCATCAACCTGTAAACTGAGCCTAAAAAGAGCCTAAACCCCAGGTACTCACGCTGAGTGAATATGGAAACAGTAGAGCTAGGCTCTCCCTGCCTTCCCCCTCAGGGGGTCCCATATTCTCTGTGGGGTGGGAAGCTGGGCGGAGGGCCTTGCTGGGGTTTTCCTGTCATTGAAGTAGAGATGGCTCAGGAACTAGCCCAGCAGGGGACTCTTCTCCAGTGCCTGAGAGTGAAGAGGGGGCCCTCCAGGGCTGGAGACCCGACCCATGAGTTGAGGCCTAAGGGCTTTACAGAGTTTTTTGGGGGGGCTGATATAGCTGGGGGGTGGGGGGTGAGGGGTACCTGGTATCATTCTGAGAGAAAAGTCCAGGGCTTGGTGTGTGAGCTGTGGAGAGAGAAATGTTGGAAAGTCCACCGTCTATTCCGCCTGTGTCCTTTCCTCCTGAGTCTGCTGTTCAGCCCTCAATCCAGCCCCTGGGGTCCTGCCCCTCAGCCTCCTGAATCCCGCTGTATAGCCCCAGGTCGCAGATTCTCACCTGAGCTTCAATACATCCTTCGTGGAGGAAACTCAGTTCTAAGTTATCCTAATTTCCCTTTAAACAGACTTAAAATAGCCAGAACACGATGGTGAGCCCACCATGGACCTGTGATAGAGACGCGCCAGGGAAGCTCCGGAATCACCAGTGTCCAGGTGTCCAGCTGGCTGTGCCTCATGTGGGAGTGGCCACCCTGCCACTGCCTGCCACCCGTTCAGAAGCTAGAGCCGACTTCTCTCTTGGTGAACAGAGGGGAAGGAAGAAATCAGACTGCATGGCTCTGGAAGAGGGGCCAGGAAAAGCCCCACCGGAGAACATATGGGAATGTCGGGGTTACGGCATTTGCTACAGGTTGTAAAAGTGCTGCAGGATCGGGTTCCTGTTGTAGTGGAGGTGGACATAGGTCATGGTTTAGAAATAACTGTAAAGCAGAAGGGGTCTGGGGAGGACCCATGCTTCCTTCTGCTAAGAAATTTTACGATGCCTCTGGTCACAGATGATTCCATCCCATAACCTCTGTGATAACCGTTGTTATGAGTATAAAGACCTCTAAGGCTCAGACATAGATTCTGTTTTAAAATAAGCACCCAGACAAGTGGATGTTTTATTCAAAGCTTACCTGAGCCTCACGTGTCTAGAAAATGCTTAAATTCATGAGCATTTAGAAGTCTCCTGCCCGATTGGTAGCTTTGGCTCTGTTTGCAAGACTCCAGGCTCCCTGGGAAGGCTCCACCGTGGTCTGATGTTTTCCTCTGGCACTCGTAATGTGAGATCCTCATCGCCACGGGGCGTGGGGTGCTCCCTGGTCCTTTCCTTATTAGCAGCGTGAGGCTACCTGCAGAAACAGATTCTCCAGCTTCTCTGTGGCTGTCAGAGAATCCTCTCCTCTCCCAGCCTCAGTGGCAGCTGGCTGCATGCCCTGTGGCTTACATAGCTTATGGGACTAGGGTTGTGACACACCCAGGGCCAAGACCACCCTCTGCCTCAAAGTGCAGCCTGCAACAGGAGTGGAGGAGCTGCGGCGGCCTCTCCAGGGAGAATCCCTCAACAGCATCTCTGAGCCCCACCTCCTTCCCAGATGGGAGGTCCTGGGACGCACAGCTCTGTCTCAGCCACTGCACACCAGGGAAGACAGGAACAGTGTCTGTGGGCATAGCCGACATGGCTGGAAGCTCTGGGTCTGCCGGGGTCCAGGATGTGTACCTGCCTTAGAACCAGTGGGTACCGAGTCCCAGGCCAGAGGCCTCACTCTGGGGCTCCCACCAAACCCAGCCTGGTGCCTGTCACGCAATACCCAGCCAACCTGCAGCTCAGGCAGGGAGAACAAGCCCCCCCCCCTTTTTCCCCTCCCAGGGTTTCCAGGCTCAGCAAAAAGGAGATCTTCAAATGCCCCTTGTCTAGCAGTTCCAGGGATCCGTGCAACCTGACCACGTTCTGCTCTCTGCAGACTCCAGCCTGCCTACGAATGAATGTCTGTCCCTTTATCCCCACCCTATGTGTCTGTGTTAGTCAGCTTTCCCTAAGAGTGACTGCGCCAGCCACCTGTGTGGCGCCTTTTCAGAGGACTTCAGGTGTCCCTGAGTTCTAGCCACGCGCTGGCGAGTGTTGAAGGTTCATGTTAATCACTTTCACTAATGAAACTTTCACTAATGAAACCAGCATCGTAAATTCTTAACCGGGAATGCTCCTAGAGAAAGAGATTTCTGTTTTGCATAAGCCCTGGGATGATTTTCTCAGTGCACTCAGTAATCACGCTGCTGTTATTGGTAGTGATAGTCTGACTACTTATACAGAGCCCTGCGCAGGGCACCTAGAGCCATTAACTAACGCAGTCCTCACAACCCCCGCGAGCTGCCAAGGCTCAGAGTCCTGCCACATCAGACCCACAGGGAGCACAGTAGGAAGGGCTCTGAACCCAGGGGTCTGGCTGCAGAGTCTGGGCTGTGGACCACCACCCTGGGCTGTCTCTCTTTGAGCCCCTTTATAAGATGGCTGGATCAAGCTCATTGCTATAGAGAACTTTCATTTACTGTGTTAAGAGAGGAAAGGAGGTGTGCTAAGCTGGGCCTCATGATGAATTAAGGTGACGTATTTCTAACTCTGGGGCCTGAAGTCACCTAACAGGTTTGGGATGGACTGGGACTGGGAGGTACCAATCATAAGAGAGTTGGTAGGTGGGCATTAAGGACATTTGATAGGTGAAATGAGTCAGTGTATGGTGGAGAAGGTCTGGCTGCCATTTGGCAGACTCCAGCCTGCCTACGAATGAATGTCTGTCCCTTTATCCCCACCCTATGTGTCTGTGTTAGTCAGCTTTCCCTAACTGTAACAAAGGACCTGAGATAAATGACTTAAAAGGAGAAAAGATTTATTTTGGCCCATGTTTTCACAGACTTTAGTCTCTTGGGCCTGTGGAGGGGAAGATCATGGGGGGTGTGCCTGCCTTGGAAACTGCTCACCTCCTGGTGGCCAGAGAGCAGGGAGAGCGCAAGGGGCCAGGGTCCCAGTGTCCCCATTCAAAGGCACACCCCAGGACCTGACCTCCTCCACTAGACCCCACCCCTCCCCACAGTGTCACTCGGGGGGTCCAGGCCTTGTAGCATCTGGGCCTTTGGGGCACATCTGAGGCTCAAGTCACAACTACCTCTTCTCAGGGGGCTCCACCACAGCAGTTTGGTCTGTTACTCCCCCTCCTGAACACCTCCAGGGATTATTCAGAATCTTCTGAAAGTGCTGGTTTCTCCAAAACTAAACCTGTTCATGTCGTTCCTCTCAAATTACATGGTAAATTTACCAAAGGTAAAAACAAAACCCCACTTTTACTTCCCTTGAATCTCCTTGTATCGGTTAGTGAGATATTTAATTCCTATGTTAATACAAACCATGGCTGAATCTGCCTAGGGAAAACCCTACAGAGGAGACCTTCACCTGAATCAGGGCCCTACACAGATGTTAGTTCTCTGCGAGCTGTTTCTAAAATTCTTCCTGCGTTATGCTTGCCTAGACGCAGTACTGTCAGCACCATCCTCAGATGTCTGAACCCAGAAAAGCACACAGGAGACCACAATGTTCCCTAGACAGACTGACTCAGTGTTGTTTGCCTGGGTGACTGGAAAATGTTCTGATTTGACCATGACGGCCTCTCTAATTGTCACAGCAGCGAGAAACACAAGGAGCGAATAGGATCAAGATGCTTGGACTCCTTGCAGGGTCCCAGAGAGACAGGCCACAGCAGAGGTGCCCACATGACCACATGTGTGCTGAGATGGCTTGGGCACTCGCTGACACTGTAAGTAATGACACACGGCCCAACGCCCTTTCAGACCTGCCATGCATTCAAACACCTGTTCACAATCAGAGTCCACTGTCCTATTTGACTTTATTCAATATCTACATTTTAGAATATAAATTTACATGCAAAATAGCTCTATTTTTTAGGTCAAGTAAACAACAATGATAATAATAAAGAAGTGAATGAGCCTTGGAAAGACCCACGAGTGGATTTTCCACTGAGTGGGTAGAGGACACAAACCCAGTGTGCTCACTACAGGCACCTCATGGAGAACCTTCTGAAGGTCACACTGTGGTTGGTCACAGGTCAGTTACAAGGCTAGGGCGTTTCAGAGAGCAGCTCTTCTGGGAAACGTGGCACAGGACTTCGGAGGTTCATCAGGTGACCTGTGACTGGTAACACCATCTGTCACACAGACCCCAACCACCTTCTCCATTCTTGACGGTGCGAGATTGTGACAAGACCGAGGACTGGCAAATGTCACAGCTCCTTTAAAATTCTTTAGAATTCTATTTTTGCCTTAGGAGTCAAGTTAGAGGATTGTAAATAGTGGTGTTGTCTCTTGGTAGAAACCTTCTGTGAACATTTTTCTGCATGTGCTTACCCCAAATCATCTGCAAGTCTGTAAGTCATAAACATGAAGTCACGAGTTCTTCACTTGTGTGACAAGTTCAAGTGGCTTGAGCTGCCAGGTCCCATTTCTCTCTGAGGCCAAGGTGCTCTCACCGCAACTGTGGGCTGAGAGCCCCCCACCTGCCAGGAGGTCTAGGGTACATGGAACATGTCCCTCCCTGGAAGAGCCTCTGTCCAGGTGGTTGGGCAGCACAGAGACAGACCACAAACCCAGAGCGTGATAAACATGAAGACTGTGGTTTTAGAGTGTGCTAGACACTGGAAAGGACTGCCAGCAAGCAGGAAGCAGGAGGGACTCGCTGCAGCCAGTGTGACGAGTGGCCCTGCCCTCGGTGGAACAGGAGCCGTGGGCAGAGCGAGGGGCCGCTGCCTGGGCAGGTGCGGAGCTCTCATTCCACGGGACGGATGAGAACTTTGGTAAAGGGATGCCGAACACCTAGGGAACCCGCAGACTGTCTGCTTTGGTCATTTCCCAAGGACAGGAAAGGAAACTTGGTAGAAGGCCACTTTGGGGCAGACATTTCTTAGGTCTGCCACTGTTAGCTTTTTAGTGTCCTTAAGAATAATCACATAAGATAGATCATCCATATCCCATCCAATTAAGGGGAAAATGGAGGTTAGAGAAGGCATATCATTTTCAAAAGTTCACACTAGTACTTACAGAGGAAGACTCTGGCTCCAAATGCCAACATTTTGTCAGGTGATATTGGGACAGTTTTTGATTTTTGCCTAAGACTCATTTCAAACCAACCAGAAGATAAGACAAAACATATAAGATAATAATCTTTTGCCATTTTTGTTAGTTTCCTTTTTTTTTTTTTTTTTGCATTTAGAATAGTTTCCCACTGGACAGACAGTGTTAGGTTGTCAGCATGTTAACTGGGATTTCTTTACTGAAAACCTTTGGTGTTTGTCCCTGTAGTAGTTCACCTGTTCTGTGAGCCTGGTGCTGTCTGAGCCTGTTTCCTCGACTGTCTTTTCCGTATTTGCTGTGAGAGCTCTCTGTATATTCCAGCTCATCTCACTCATCTGTTAGAGTCCCTGGAAATGCTCTCACCCATTCTATGGCTCCCCCCCCCACCGACCGTTTGTCATGAAACAACACAACAAGGTGGATGAAACATACAAATGTATGTCTAAGTCACTTTTCTCATCACAAAGGCAGTTTTTCCACCACTCCTCGTTGGTGCCCACCACCTTTGGGTGTCTGGAAACACCAGGCGTCTCATTCAGGGGTTTCTACAAGTGAGTTCCGTGGGCTGAGACGGATTTTCTGCCCTCGGGAGGTGATCATAAAGTGTTTGCCTTAGCAGGTTGGTGTGGCTCTCACTCTGACTCTGGTGTCCCACGACCCACCACTCCTGGGAGGGACCCAAACTGCTGAACGGTGCCTTCATGTATTTTTTTAAAATTTCTCCTTTCCCAACATTGACATCTGAATGAGATGGCTGGCATTTCTGCCAACTTCCTTCTCAGTTTTGTATTCCAGGTTACAGCAACTTTATGGATTCATCTGGGGCTTGGTCCTCGTGTTCTGACTTCTAGAAGTTTCTGTGGGGTGGGGATAGCTGACCCTGGGAGCAGCTGGCTTGGAGGCCAGCCTGGACCTGGAGTCTTATTTGTGGGAAGATT